CGCCCTGTGGATCGCCGGATCGGCTTTCACAGTGGACGAAGCGGAGTCCAGCCCGTGGTCATCACATGTGGTTGCCACAATCCCGCCGGTCGCTCCTTCGTTGAATCCGCCGGCCGCGACGTTCTCAAGCCCGCCGCCTCCGCTAGGCCGCGGTGTGTGACGTTTTTTTGTTGTGAAAGCGAAACTACTTTGTTTGGTCTTCCAAAAGAGGACACGACTAGATATCAGTGGTTAAGTTGAATTTACAACTGTTCTAGAACAGTTCAATCCAAATATCCAGATGTGTGCAGCGCATTTTATGGAGGACTGTTTCCTGATCCTGGGAGAGTAGACTACAATGCCGGCTGTTCTGACTCACAGACTGTAAGTTTAGCACCATACTATATATACATATCGACGTACTATAGTGTTAGTATCTGATAGCATCACTTTACCATGATAATGTAACAGTAGTTTTCTATAGGGAAAGCACATATTTGCTTTAGTCTTTGTTTTATTCTCAATTCAACCTCCCTGTTTTGTGTCGTCCACCCCCTCCCTTCTCTTTTCCTGCCGTTTAACTTTAACGATAATGAAAGACAAACATTGTGATAATTATCACCTGGGTCTGGGAGTCTCAGGCAGAGGGCCACCAGCACCGTAATGATGTGAGAAATAATATTATCTCTCTCCCTCCTCTCGCTTGACTGCTGCTGAGTCAGACTGGCTCACACTTATTTTTTTTTTTGTTGTTGTTGTTGTTAAATAAAGATAACAATGAAAATAATAGGACAAACTAAAACTAAACTAAAATGTATTTCCATGGCTCCAGCACTATTTTAAATATAAATTCTTTTAGTTTCAATTAATTCTTAAATAATAAACACGGATGTATTAAAAGCATTAAATAGATAGATCCATGAATTGCATTAATTAATTACCGGTAATTAATTTTTAAAACAGTAATCGTGTTAAATGGCAGCCCTAAGAATATTCAAACTAAATTTAACATAAAAGAGTAAACATGCTATAAAACATTTAAACAAGAAAAAAGTCTAAAAATAAATGTATAGGCCAACTGTGAAAACAAACTAGAAAACGTACAAACTAAACTCTAATCATATTCAGATTATATGCAATTAGAAATTAACGTTTCAATACCCTAATCCTGCTTTTTTTTTATTTATTTTTTTTATTAACAAGATCAAAATACATGTATATGACAAACACTATGCATGATATAAACAATAAACACTATACATGAAATAAACAATTTCACACTAGAGGGGCTGTATACAAATACACATTTACAAACTTTCACCGTTTTAATTGCTTTTTGTTTCATAGAAAATCGTATAGTATCAATATAATGCTCCATTTCCTTCCTAAAAGAAAAAAAAATTTTTTTTTGCATGAGAACTTACATTTGTGAATATGAAATTTGCATGTAAAAAAATAAGATTTATCATGAAGACCCTAATCCTGCTGCATATCGCACAAAATGTATCATCTGCGTCACAAGTCGCTTTCAGGAAAGTGGCAGTGCGCGTGCGCAATCGTGGACGTGGCAGTGACGTTACGCACACCGGAAGCGGTCAGGACTGGAAGTGAAACCCCGTCCTCCGTAACATCGACAAGCTGGGAATACTGGAAAAAACGACGAAATGAAACGGTAACCGTGAGTAAACGATTATAAACCATGTCAGGAATGTGTTAGCTAGTGCTTAAGGTTCATCTGGAGTGTTTATAGTTAAAATTTAGACAGACATGGTCGAGTTTTGGGCCAATTGGCGCTCAAAGAACTGCGTACTGCTGGACTGAAGACGGTGTCAGTTGCTATACAGACATAAACAAACAAACCTGCAAACACCTTGAAGGATAGAATTTGGGTTTAGAACATGCTTGTAATATATCTTTGCAAAGAATGAGTTGTCTTTCATTGATTTGTGTTATTAAATATCTGTGAAGCCAGAATATAATCCGATAACATGTGAGTTCAGTTTATCTCTCTGCTCAGCTGACTGGTGGTCTGGTTACTTGTCTAGAGTGGGTTTCCTTATAGGTATTATAAAGAAGGGTAAGCTGAGGTGTTGGGATCAGTATGCAAGCAGATCTTCTGTTTGTCACGTATTACTGGATGTGGGAGTGACATCTTACTTATTTTATCTGGTTTCACAGACAGCAGCCATGTACCTAGAGCATTATATTTGACGCCAAGTGGTTGAAAATCAGTTCTAGGAAAAGTTCATGCATCATTTGTAGCCATTTGTTTTGATATTTTATCAATTACAAGAGTATTTGGATAGTTCATTCAAAAATGGCAATTCTGTCATCGTTTACCAAAACCAAACAATAATAAACTGTTGACGGTGGCCATTGACTTTCATAGTATGGGGGGATAGAAACCTAAGGAAGTCAATGGCTACCATCAGCTGTTTGGTTACCAAAAATCTTCAACATATAGTCTTTTGTGCTTAACAGAAGAAAGAAACTCTTTCTGGTTTTGAACAGCTTGAGGATGAGTAAATGACAGAATTTTCATTTTTGGGTGAACTGTCCCTTTAAGTGTCTAAATGCTTTCAACAAGAATACCTTTAGTACCCTTGCTGTATATGGAGGGTCAGAAAGCACTCGGATTTTGTCAAAAATATCTTAGTTTGTGTTCCGAAGATGAACGAAGGTCTTACATGTTTGGAAGGACATTAGGGTGAGTAATTAATGACAATTTTCTTTTTTGGGTGAACTATCCCTTTAACGACCAGGCTGCACCTTAATTGAACTTATTTGTTGTATTTATTATCATTATTATAATAATTTATTTAAATATTATTGATATTATTTTTATAATATAAACATTATAAACTGTACATTTTATATAAATAGAATAGAAAATGTATATCTATTTCTGTTCTATTCTTTCTTTTTATAATTTATTTCATTTTTTATATGAAAAACTGAATTTTTCACACATTCTTCAAAGTATTTGTGATTTTGTATGCACACATGGTGTCTTTATTCTGTATTTAATAGTTTTCTATTTCTTGGCTGTCGCAGACAGCTCAGTTCTGATGCAGGATGAGTCCAGGAGTCTGGGAGGAGAGGTGGCCATCGACATGGACTCTAGAGCAAACCCTCTGCAGCTGCAGCTCATCGATGAACAGGTATCAGTCTCACAGGAAATTAGGAATGGATTGCAGTCTAAGGCTGCTGCTTGTAGCTGAAGGTTTGAGAGTATGATAAATGTTGAATGATTGATTTCAACATCAAATGTCCGTTTGTTATGTTTTTGTAGGACTCCTATATCCAGAGCCGAGCAGATACCATGCAGAACATTGAGAGCACTATTGTGGAGTTGGGTTCCATCTTTCAGCAGTTGGCGCACATGGTCAAAGAGCAAGAAGAGACGATTCAGAGGTCAGACAAACACATACACACCACAGGATTTACATACTCCAAAACCACAGACTCAACAGTACAGTACATGCTTCAGAGACATGCTGTACAAACCACACAAACACTTACAGTAGCAGTAGTATTTTTTTTTAAGTCAGCATAAATGCCAGTGTGAGAGTATCACTTTGTAAGAAAAATGATGAGGACGATGAAGATCTCGATGAAGATGTTTATTGCAGCATAGCAGTGACAAAGTACATGTAGTACCTTGGGTTCAACGGAGTCAGAATGAACCCCGAGCCTCCTACGCTCAAACATTTTATACTCTATTACGTTCACGCCGCTCCCACGCTATAGGTGATGGAAGTATCGTTCAAGAGATACTATTTACATAAAGAATTATCTCCATGATAATTAAGCTCTTTGTAGAGAAAGGAGAATAGTTTAATTGGAGTGGAGTTTGGTCGAGGCAGACTATAATTTCTTACAACTTGCATTTGTGACTAAAAGTTGATGTGTGCAAATATTCGTTGTCTGTTTCTGTTGAACACCAGGATCGACGCCAATGTGGAGGACACCCAGCTGAATGTGGAAATGGCCCACACTGAGATACTGAAGTACTTCCAGTCCGTCTCCTCAAATCGCTGGCTCATGATCAAGATATTCCTCGTTCTCATCATCTTCTTCATCATCTTTGTGGTCTTCCTTGCCTGAGAAGGAACAATCCTGAGTGTAAGGTGGGATGAAAACGGAGCCAAAGGGTTTGAAGGAGGGAGGAACAGGCTATGGACTTATGGGCGAATGTGCAAAAACACAAGTGGACTGTGCCGCAGGGGACACTGGCTCCCGGGGGGAGGGTGTGGGGGGGGTTCTGATGCTCAGTGGTGGGATGATTTTAGTCAGAGTAAGTTGATGTTAATTCTGTCACTGTCGACTTTCACTCTCTTACACTAGAGGGAGATGGAGGATGGTGGTGATGCTGATGAAGGTGGAACTGAGATTTACTGTGTATTTAAAGAGGAGGTGTTCTGATTCACTCTGTTCTGTTTAAACTTCTTCTACATCTGCATTAATATTTGAGCCTTCGTTTCTTATTAATAATCACATATTAAAAGAGAAGGCTTTTTCCCAAGTGGTTTGATTCTCCAAACTGGTTTAGTTGGTTTTTCTCAGTGTTATCCGTAATCAGCGATAATAAAATCTTTTTTACAGTAAATAAAATGTGACCTGATTCTCATCATAAAATACGCAATAAATACGCAATAAATTGGGCAATTATTTGCCACTTATGGGTGAATCTCACAAAGAAATATCAGTCATATTTTACCCCCAAAATTTGATAGGAAAAATTATTTATAATTAATTGTATTTTTATAATTAATTATATTTTAATACAAAAGGGATGTTTTTAGGACCATTATGACTTTTTTTCATGAAAACCAAGTTCTCATATGTAATGTGAAAAAAATGCTGTATAATATTGGATTATTAGGCTATATCTAGCATGATTTTTTTAAATGATTAATAATAGTATAAATTAAATTCAGTACAACAAATGCTACTGTGTTATATACTTACCAATGTAGTGATAATAAATGTACAAATACATTTATAAATTGAAAATTTTTCTTTCACATTACATTCATGGGAATTTGGGGGGGGAAATGTGCTTAGTTGTCATTAAAATAATGACACAATGCCAAAAAAAAAATATATATATATATATATACACTATATATATATATATATATATATTAAAATAAAAATATCTTAATGGTCCTAAAAAATAAACATTATCTTTTGTGGGTGGGGAAATATAAGTCTGACATTTTCTGACCATTTTCATGAGATTCTTCTTTCTAGTGTTAAGGCCTTCTGATTGCAGCCCCTGTAAATATGGGGTCTGTAATATTATATACTGTTTAGAGACTTTCAGTTTCTTTTTTTTTCTTCTTTTTTTGAGTTTGATTCTGCCAAATACACGAGGAGTTACAGGAAGTTGCCTGGTCTTATGATTTTGCTTCGTGCAGGAATAAACAAGGTGCGACTGAAGACCAGTGTTTTATACAGTACTATAGAATTTAAAAGATCACAGTGTGGTTTAAAGGGCCCAAAGAGACTCCAGACAGATCTAAAGCTATAAACTGCTCATTCATTACATCAGGACGTGTTTCGTTCCAGGCCAATGCAGAGGACGTCTGAACGTCTGGTGATGAAACCGATCGGTACTCTGAGAACTGAATGCTGGGTGCGTTTCCTTCATTTGTGAGGAGCAACTTTGGCCTGATGAACATATTGGCCACCTGCGCAAAGAACTGAAGATCAGCTCCTTCATGCTGTGATGCTGTGAATAATGAAACGGGAGAGGGAGCTGGCAGAGATGATGTCGTCTTCACTTAGAAGCAGCATTTTCGAGGTCAAACTCTAATTTGGTAAATCACAGACTTTCTCTCTCCCACACATGCCACAATATCTCAAATCAAACTCATGAACGATGTACAGTGTATTATTTAATGAGCACTTTTTATGAAGACTCCTGTTTCCAGGCTTTTTTTAGCTGAATGGTCTGCATCTCTTGTATAAACTGAACACTGTTGTTATGTAAGGACAAACAGTACATATTAAAATACATCTGAGAAACTGATTATGGCTAATGTTGCTTTTGTCGCTGCGGCTGTAGAATTTTTGTAGAGTGAATCTCACAAAACATGGAATATGTCACACCAAAATGAAAAGAAAGCTGACATTGTTTTAATAATTCAGTAGCACAGTTCACATTTTGAGTGTTTTATTATTTTGTAAATTTTCTTTATTCATTACTTTAAAATGGTGTACAGTTTACAGATTAAAAAAAATATTATTTTAACTTTTTTTTTCTTATTTTGTTCACTTATTTTAGAAATGTTTTTTTTCTCTTCCAGAAATATGACCTGGACATATTCTTGACAAGTTTTGTGAGCTTCACTATCACAGAAAAATTGAGCTGTGAAAATGCACACATTTATGCCAAATATTTATATTTACATCCAAATATTCAAAATATTTAAGCACATGTTAGAAAGTAAAAAAAAAAGACTAGGCCAGTGTTCTTTGGTTCGATTAACAAATGAACAGTGTTTGTCTTGCAATCTGAAAGCATAAGCTTTAGTCTTTCAGGATGTCTCCTAGATTCGGATTTTCTTCTCTTGTTCTTTGCCGCCGCCTCTTTTCTTTCTCCTCCATTGCCAACTTGCCTCGAAGGCTTCAAGCTTAACGAATCCTTCTTTCCTCTGTCTTTCTCTTCATCTTTTCCTCTTGTTCAGCTCTGAGCCGCCTGCTCAAGAGGAGTGATCTCTGGCATGCTGAGGCTCCGTCCCTTCCTGGTGCGCATGGCGGTTGTCACCTGTTCGGCTGCTTCCTCGTCTTCATCAGACCATGTGTTTTCCTCTTGCAGGTCGTTGCGGGAACCACCGAAGCTTCCCTTCCCGCGGTTCAGGGTGCGGAACTTGGATCGAAACGTAACGAAGGAGAGGCTCTTGCTGCGCTGTTTTTCCCAACGGTTCACCCGATTCTCGAGCTCTGCGTCTCCCTGAAGCTCATCCAGGCAGTTTCTTAGGACGCCCCGGAACAGTTTGGGGACGTCGTGCACCTCCGCCTCAAGCTCTGACACTAGCTTCCTGAACCTTTCAAACAAACAACAAAATCTTAGAGATATTACATGATTCACCTCTGTCACTATAACTCTTATTGGGCAATACCTACCAGGGTTAAGTAAAACTAAAAGCAGCATAAAACATTTTTGTTACTTGAAATAAAATAAATCTTGATGGAAATAAAATAAAATGTTATATAAAAAAAAGAAACCTTCAGCTAGTTGCCAAGGAAACACTTCTCATTTTTGTTTAGTTTAATGGTAACCTGATGTACTAAAATAACTAAAACTATATGAAATAATACAGATGACAAAAACAAAAAAAATGACTAACAAAAATTAAAAATAATCAGTAAAAAAGATTATTGGAGTGAATATTTACAAGAAAATGCAGCTTAGTCTTTCTACTTTAAAATGTAATGTTTAATTCAGTGTGTTACCTGCCATTTCTTTGTAATTGTAAAACCAGCAGTTTCTGTTTACTACTAATTCTAATATTCTAATAGTATATAGGCTATGTGTGTGTATATATATATATATACATGATACTAAAATAAACTAATTGAAATAAGTTAGTTAAAACATTTTATTCCACTTGAATAGACATAAATAAACATAAAAATAGATTAAAACATGAAATACATTAACTTAAATAAAACATTACTAAATCTTGTTTTATTTAAGCTTAAGCTAGTTGCCAAGGAAACATTTCTTATTTTCTTGGGGCACTGAAAAACCTAAAACTTAATAAAAACTACATATATGTAAAAATCACAAAAACAGACAAAAAATGGTAACACTTTACTTGAAGGGGTGTGCATACGACTGACATGACACCTTCATAATCATGACATGACACACGTCATGAATATGAAGGTTTTATGCATGTTTATGAAAACTGTCATTAAGTGTCATTCGCTCAGTTATGTCATTTTTAATGCAAATATGACATTATTTGACCTAACCCTACCCCTACCCTTACCCCTAACCATAGCCCATAACAAAGACATCTCAAACAATGTCATCTTTGCATTAAAAATGACATAACTGAGCGAATGACACTTAATGACAGTTGTCATAAACATGCATAAAAAACCTTCATATTCATGACATATGTCATGTCATGATTATGTATGCGTCATGTCATGATTATGAAGGTGTCATGTCAGTCTTATGCACACCCCTTCAAGTAAAGTGTAACCCAAAAAATT